AAACTTAAAATACAAATTCATGGAACTACATATTTAGTACCATATCTGATAATGTACTCTGCAAAAAAATGAAATCTAAATAAGTCATTTCTTCTTAAAATAAGTGCATTTTTTCTTGAATTAAGGATTTAAGTGAGACACTTTGCCAATGGAACAAGACAATTTACGCTTAAAATAAAAAAACAATTGCATTGTCTTAATTTAAGTGCATTTTATCTAGATATCTTATTTTAAGAGTAAAAATACTAATTCCATTGGCAAATCATCTTATTTACCTGCTCAAATTAAGGTTAAATACCCTTAATTTAAGACATTTTTACTCATTTTGAGATCATTTTTGCAGTGTACCAATTAGGGCTGAAACAATTAATCGTGATTAATCGATTATTGAAATAATCGTCAACTAATTTAGTAATCTATTAATTGTTAACTGGAGAACAGCGACTGTAAAACCTGCCTTTAGCTGACAGAGGAACCGAATCAGAGCAACAATTATATCAAAGATGTGGAAAAATATGTAAACATTTTGCAATTAAGATTAAAAAAAAAAAAAAAACGTTTTCGTCCGTCAGTCTGCTCTATCCACAACTCCTCAAGTGGAAACATTTTAGTTTACCTGGTTTAATTCTGTTAAAAATCTTCTGTAAGGAACCTTCGGTTATTCGGTTATTAATCGATTAATAAAAAAAAAGGGACAGATTAATCAGTTTGTAAAATAATTGTTAGTTGTCAGTTTGACAACTTTCAGTTGAAGCGACAAGTTTTTCTATACAAAAGTTTAATAAAACAAAAATGGATAAGAAATCCATTTATTTTTAGTTAGATTGTTATTATGATTATGAGATTATTCCTTAAGATGCTACAATTGTGAATGTTACAATTATAAAACAACATTTATTCGCACATTATTATTCATAGATACAGTTAAAATTTAAAATGTAAACAAACCCTTTAATTTATTAGTAGTTTTCTTATAAAAAAAAGTGTTTTCCAATATTATATTCTTTATAAAACAAGATAAAACTTTGTTTAGTTTTCTTTCATGTCATGGAACGGCCTTATAATGTTTAATAGTCTTCCTCATACTATTATACATACTATTATTAGTATGATGAAGGAAAATAGATGGCAGCAGCTTTTTAACACGATAACTCAATATAATTTTCACTTTTAAAAAGTACAGAAATATTTAGAGCTGAACACAAAATCCAAGCAGAATAAGGAATAAAGATATGATGTGAAGCTCAGTTTATTTGCCCTTCATGTCAGCCTGGATGGTTGTTTACATTGTTCATGGTGGTTTTCATCACACCATGGAGGCCCTCGGAGCATAACCGACGTTACAGCTGATGATGCCGGAGCTCGCAGAGCAACATTTGCAGCGCTTCAGACTGTCATAGTGTGTCACAAGCCACTGGAAATAATACTATTCATTGCTCAGTGGGGCAATTGTCACATTGCATCTGAAAGCCCCTTAGCATCGCTCGCCGTAGGAGAAAAACAGAGCGACATGGGTTGCATTTTTGGAGCCCCCAGTAAGGACGGCCACAAGTCAAAGCCTGAATAGTGCCTTTTCATTGGGTTGGAGTTTCATAAGGTTGTATAACAGGAAAGCATAGATACTGTACCGCTATTCAGACACTTCTCCACAAAGTGAGCAACATCTTTGAAGCAAAAACGTTCTTATTTGCAGTCTGCTGAGTGTTTCTGTTTATTTTGTTTCAATTAAATACATAATTACTGCTTAATTAAGCTGTTGTTTTGCATGTAGTGAGTACGGGCTGTAGATTATATATAACAAAAGAGGGAAAAACAGTTTTTTAGACGGGTTTCCCTGCTGGAAATATATACACATATGAATTCAAGATCACAGAGTCTGGTATGGAAATATACGGTGTATCCAGGCTTTCCCTTTTCTCCATAAATTATTACCCAGCATATGTGCAGGGTAGGACAGGCATGCGTAAAGGATACCAGAGAAGTATGGTGCCATTGGTCTGCCCCCAGACCGCACAGTGTGCTCCGCTGCCAGCAGTGCCTCCTATAATTATAGAGCAGAATTTGGGAAACTGCCTCTATCCAGGCTAAACTGAAACTAAAACCCACATTTCATCTTTGGTATTTGCTCTTTTCAGTTTCTAAGAACCCCATATTTAAACATTTGTTATTTTTGGACTTATTCTGAATATCATTGAAAAAGAATCAGAGCACCGTGTTAGAGAAGAAGTAGCTCTAAACATTAGCGCCTAAGCCTGGTAGCTTTGCTCCTTTACACCTGCTTTATTTATATTAATTCAGATTTAATCTATTTATTCTTCTATCTGCTTGTGGAACTGTGATTCTTCAACCGACTGGTCAAATAACAGGCAAACCTAGGGCCCTATAAAATCCGTTTTATTTTTCCCAAATTCCATTTTTTCCGTTTTAATTAATGAGAATTAAGTTTTTTTACCCTTTACTGTTATTTCAGTCGTAAAAAGAATGTGCTTTTAATGTTAATGATTAAAATGTACACAAATAAAATAGGAATGACCTTAAATTTATAATTTATTGAGGTAAAAAAACACATTTCCTCAGTACTTTTACTGTATGATGCAACATAACACTGCACTCTAAGTACTAATGGTTATGAACCAATGGTTATAAATAAAAGTGCTCGATTAGTTTTTTCAAGTAAAAAAATAAAATAGTACCTCTCAATTTCAGAATTATAAAGTATTTCATAAAGAATCATATTTTCCATACAGCAAATTAAAGTGCATAAAAAACAAAGCAAAATACAGCAAGTATGTAAGCGTCGTGTTTCTCAACTTTTTCGCCGAAAGCGGAGCTGTGGAGACCCGCCCCGCCATTTTTTTCAATGTTTTGATGGGGGAGGGTGAGCGGAAATGACGGAGCGGGAGGGGTTGTGTCGCCCA